GATGGATGGATGGATGGATGGATGGATGGATGGATGGATGGATGGATGGATGGATGGATGGATGGATGGATACTGCTCATGATTAACAAAAACACTGTTGCGTTCAAGGCTGGTGAAATGCTGGGACATCTGAGCTTTAACAGATTTACTGAGCTATTGTGAAAAGCACATTTCCCTGGAACCCCTGTATTAAGATATATACACATATTAACTTAACTGGGTTAAAAAATGTTAACTTTGTAGACCAAACGGTGAAATAAACAACCGATTCTTTATGTGGAGAACTTATCAGGGGAAAAAAATATAAGAATATATTTTCCTGATAGTTTTTCCTATAAAGTATAACAGTCCACTAAAAAAAACTAACATTTTCACCTGGTGGAAAAATTACCACAAAAATATAATTCCAGTGTATTTGTGTGTGTGTTTTCAAACAATAAATATATCTATATATTAGTTATACTGATGATACTGATGAAGCCTTCCGGATCGAAGGCGAAACGTTTCAGCACAAAAAAAGAAACTGTTCAGATGACCTGACTGAAAAATGTTGGATTGTATATCTGGATTATTGAGCATGGACTTTGTTGTTATAACTATATATTGATTGGGCGGGTTTTTGTGCGATGGGGCGGTTTTTAACAGACTTTTGGGCTGGAAAATCTCGACTCTATCTGGCAACACTGCCAACTGAGCCAGAACCATCTCTTTTGACCTTGTTCCACAAACACAAAGCAGAAAAATTAAGTTTTGAAGCTCATCTCAACTTTAACACACACACACGGACCGTTTATGAGTATCTTCATTGTAACTAACCTTTTTCAGATGAACATTTTGGTCGTACTAGCATGTAGCATGTGTTGGATTTAATATTTTATACCTTTTTATAATTCCTATCAAGCACTCAAATGTCATGTCATATAAAGTGTGTGCGTGTCTTTCTTCCAGGGTTGAACTATGTTTATAGAAAATGTTTGCTAATTCTAACTAGTTGACCTTTAAATATAATCTCATATTAGCTAAGGATAATTTTACAAGTTCACATTTGATATATTACAAGCAATCAAATCAGGCCAGAGAGCAGACTGATTAACATAAATAAAGCTAGAACACATCTCTTTAATTTAGACAATATAGTTTTGACTAAGTAAAATCCAACTAAAACAAGTATAAAAATGATCCAAGTAAAAACACAAACAGGAGTTAGATAATAATTAAGTTATTAATTATTCCTAGAAATAAACAACTTTATTTTAAATCAGTTTGTATCACTAAGGTATAATCACGTTAAACCTTAAACAAAGCCGATTTCAGTGTACCAAAACTTATCTGAAATATAGACGTTAACGTCCTTGTTAACGTCCTTGAGGGGGCGGGCTAAGAGTCGTAACCATAGCAACAGAAGCTGAACCAATCAGGAAGCTAGCCTTCTCAAACGGGGATAAAAGGCCGGAAATGACACACGCCCACCGAGCATTTCCGGGAGGCGCACACCGAGACGGTTCATGCTTTAATGCTCCATTTATATGCATATATCTTATTAATGTAATTGTTTGTCTCTGAATATCTGTAACCCATGTTTTGTCAAATAAATCTTTTATGCGAAGGGCGACGCCTCAGCCGTCTTGAACACGACGTGGTATTCCAGCCACAACAAATGATGAACCCCGATATGCGGCGAGGCGACGCGACCT